GCCGCTCCCGGCCCCTGCAGCCTCAATCTGCTGGGCTCTGGCAATCTTTCCGCCTCAGCCTTCCAAGTAGCTGGAAGTACAGGCGCACACTACCGCGTCCAGTTAATTTTTTTTTTGGATTTATTGTAGAGATGAGGTCTTGCCAAGTTGCCTAGGCGGGTCTCGAACCCGCGGGCTAAGGCAATCCACTCACCTCAGTCTCCCAAAGACTCGGGATTACAGGCTGAGCCACTGAGCCTGGCTCATTCAGCATTTTGATGCCCCAATTTTAGCATGTTAGCCATATAGTCCATTATGTTGTCAGCTTACACCGATACCTTTTATGGTACCCAGGATTTTAATAAATAATCACTATCTGGCACAGAACAATCACTCCCAGATTCAAAAAACTATGTCTTACATATTAGTCGGTCAAATCCTGCAGATGCTAAGGTGGATCCATTGGGGTGAAACTTGCAGCAGTATACTTCCCCTTCATGTCCTGAGAGCAGCATGATTGGGGCTTGAAGGGAGGAACACCGTGGAGGTCCCTACACAAAAGAAAAGCACAAGGTAGCTACTGTACCCAGGCAAAAGAAGCTGCAAAATTGGGGGATGACAAGTGGAAGGAAAAGACCAGGAAAACAATGACAGTGAATTTCACCTTACTTAGAGAATGGCGGCTCTCCTCATAAAACTTATGCCTCCAACTGATGCTTGTTTGAGCTTCCTAGTATCTGCCTGTCATACTGACTCTCTTCCTTCCTCATTCTGCTTTTGTCTCATAGTCAACTTCTAATGGCCAAATACATCGAATGCAATTCTGCCTCAGGATCTTTATACCTGCAGTTGCCTCCGACAGGAAACCTTTCCTCTTAGATTTGGTTCCTTCAAAAAAGTTTTTCGGCTAGGCTCGGTGGTTCAGCATGTAATCCCATCACTTTGGGAGGCTGAGATGAGTGGACTGCCTAAGCCCACGGGGTTCAAGACCAGCCTGGGCAACTTGGTGAGACCTCATCTCTACAATAAATCAAAAATTAGCTGGGCGTGGTGGCACACGCCTGTAGTTCCAGCTACTTGGAAGGCTGAGGCGTAAGGATTGCTGGAGCCCAGCAGGTCGACACTGGGATGGCTGTGAGTGTGCCACTGCACTCCAGCCTGAGACTCCAACTCAAAAAAAAATAAAAATTTTTTTCTCTTCAGACAAGTCTTTCCTTAACCAAATTCAAGTAGCATTCCACATAGCTCCTATATTCCAGTAACTCTACTGTATTCTTTCACAGCACTTACCACTATTTAAAACTACCTTTCTCATCTATTTGTTTGCATACTTTGCACCTCCCTCTCTTCAGTCTCAGTCATGGAGTGCAGCAGCACAATCATGGCTCACTGTAGCCTCAATCTCCTGGGCTCAGGTGATCCTTCTGCCTCAGCCTCCTGAGTAGCTGGGGGATTACAGATGAGCATGCCACCATGCTTGGCTAATTTTTTTTTTTTTGTATAGATGAGGTCTTGCTACATTGCTTAAGTTCGTCTAGAATTCCTGGGCTCAAGCAGTCCTCCCACCTCGGCCTCTCAAAGTACTGGGATTACAAGCGTGGGCCGTGTGCCCACCCCAATTTTGTCTTTTTCACTACAAAACTGATGTTCTGTGAGTGCAGGAACCCTGCCTGTGTAATTCAACAGGCTTCCTAGTCTCTGAATTGCTCATTTATTTTATTTTATTTTTTTTTGAGTTAGAGTCTTACTCTGTTGCCCAGACTAGAGTGTACCTGGGCCACTGCAGCCTCGACCTGCTGGGCTCCCTCCGGCAATTCTTCAGCCTCAGCCTTCCAAGTAGCTGGAACTATAGGCACGCGCTACCACGCCCGGCTAATTTTTTATTTATTGTAGAGATGAGGTCTCGCCAAGTTGCCCAGGCAGGTCTTGAACCCGCAGGCTCAGAAAATCCACTCACCTCAGTCTCCCAAAGCATGGGATTACAGGCTGAACCACTGAGCCCGGCTGGATTGCTCATTTAATGAATGACTGAACTGACCTTACCAACAACCCTACATGGTACAGATCACAGGGCAAAGTAGTTTGATTATGGTCTTGGACACTAAGGCTAGACTTGGGTACTTCACCTAAATTTGGACTGATACACTTACTTGCCAAATAGGAAGAACAAGTATACTAAACAAAATAAACAATGGAGCACATGTTTCAGTGGGAAACAGAAAGGGAAAAAACAAGCAAAATAAAATATAGATGGTGCTATATGCTATAGAGAAAAGCAAAGTAGGAATTTGGGTTCCAGAGTATTAGCCATTGCAATTTAAAAGAGTGGTCAGAAAAGCCCTAACTAAAAAAGTAGTATTTGAGCAAAGGTAAGAAGGAGCCAAATGTATAAACCATGTAAACATGAGGAAGAAGGGTAATCCAGGTGAAGGAGCAACAAACGCAAAGGCCCTGAGGAAGGAGCATGGAAGATGGTGTGCCTGGAGCCAGGTGAGCAGTGGGAGACTGGTCAGGGAGATAAAGGGAAAGATAGCAAACGATTAAAAGAATTTTAGTCTTGACATTGGATGAAGTGGAAAGCCCCCCAAAAGTTTTCATCAGAGGGTAACATGCTCTGATGTTTAGAAGGATTCCTGTGGGTGTTGGGCTGTTAACAGACTTTGCTACAGAGCAGAAACAATAAAACCAGTTAGCTCCCTATTACAATGCCAGATGAGATAATACTGGTTTAGACCATGAGACAGTGATGGACATGGTAGAAGCGGTAGCAATTCTGGACATATTTTTTTTTGAGTTCGAGTGTCACTCTGTCGCCCAGATTGGAGTGTAGTGGCCACTCCCGGCCACTGCAGCCTTGACCTGCTGGGCTCCGGGGATCCTTCCACCTCAGCCTTC